GTCCTGTTGAAGTTAAGCCTTGATTGTTGTAGGTATCACTGGGAGGAATTGACCAATTGGCTGTGAGAATCAGCTGTGTCTGCAATGGGAGAACTTCTGTGCTGGAGACACCCCTCTGGGGCAAGACTTGCTTCAGTGGAGCTTTGGTCCTCACTGAGTCACTCTGACCACCGGGTATACTGGCTCCTGGATCTTTCAGGAGGTGCTAATCTAGCCTTTACCTGAGGCTATTCAGCCGGAGCTCAGCTGTGAAGGAATGCAAATTGCCCTGGGGCCTTGGGCCAGCTGCAAGTTTGTTAGGTAATTTTCAGCTTGCAAAAGTCTCTGTGCACAGCTTGGGCAGGGTGGGGTCCCAGGGGATCAATAGGGCTGAGCAAACAGCTATGGCTGATGGTCAGTCCTTCCCTAAGAGGCCGCGAGTCTCAGTGTCCAGGTAATCGCTGCAAGCACCTCTGAGAGAAAGCCGCCCTCGAGATGCGAACGATGCCAGACAGTTTAGTCCAGCTGTGGGCAAACTACGGCCCGCAGGCCGGATCCGGCCGGTTTGAAATGAATAAAACTAAAAAAAAAAAAAGACCGTACCCTTTTATGTAATGATGTTTACTTTGAATTTATATTAGTTCACACAAACACTCCATCCATGCTTTTGTTCCGGCCCTCCGGTCCAGTTTAAGAACCCATTGTGGCCCTGGAGTCAAAAAGTTTTCCCACCCCTGGTTTAGTCTCTCCCCGTATCTGTCAGGGTCCCCAGAGATTCGCCTGGAACTGGAGTTCAGAGCAGTAGGGAGTTTGAGACTCCCTCTCGATTGAAAAAGCCAACCGTGTCCTCAGTTGCCAGCCCTTTCTGCATCCGCCTCCATACCTGTGCACTTAACTTCCGCACTGCAGCTCCTCTGAGTCTTGGTATGCTTTTCTCTTTCCTTCTAGTTGTAGTATTTCCACTCAGCCAGCCTTCCTGTGGTTCTGGATGATGCCCCTTCTGTCTTTTATTTTTTTATTTTTTTTTTATTTTTTTTAAAATATATTTTATTGATTTTTTACAGAGAGGAAGGGAGAGAGATAGAGAGTTGGAAACATCCATGAGAGAGAAACATCGACCAGCTGCCTCCTGCACATCCCCCACTGGGGATATGCCCGCAACCCAGGTACATGCCCCCGACCGGAATCGAACCCGGGACCTTTCAGTCCGCAGGCTGACGCTCTATCCACTGAGCCAAACCGGTCTCGGCCCCTTCTGTCTTTTAGTTATATTCTTGAAGTGGTTGTGTGAGGCAGCAATCTCCAGTGTTTACCTATGCCGCCATCTTGGTTTCTCTTCCGGGTCTTTTTTATTCCAGATGAATTTTTTGAAAATTTGTTCTTGGTCTGTGAAATATTCTGTTGGTATCTTAATTGGGATTGCATTTAATCTATAGATTGCTTTGGGTAGTATGGACATTTTAATGATGTTAATTCTGCCAATCCATGAACATGAGTTGTACATCTTCTTTTCCAATTTGAATGCCTCTTATTTCTTCTTCTTGTCTGATTGCTATGGCTAGCACTTCCAGTACTATGTCAAACAGGAGTGGTGAAAGTGGGCATTCCTGTCTGTTCCTGTTCTTAGGGGAAATGGTTTTACTTTTTGCCCATTGAGTATGATGTTGGCTGTAGGTTTGTCACATATGAACTTTATCATGTTGGGATATGCTGTCTCTATTCCAACTTTGCTGAGTTTTTATAAAATGGGTGTTGGGCCCTAACCGGTTAGGCTCAGTGGATAGAACATCGGCCTGGGGACTCAAGAATCCCAGGTTTGATTCCGGTCAAGGGCATGCACCTTGGTTGCGGGCACATCCCCATTAGGGGGCATGCAAGAGGTAGCTGATCAATGTTTCTCATCGATGTTTCTAACTCTCTATCCCTCTCCCCTCCTCTCTGTAAATAATCAAAAAAATAGATTTAAAAAAAATGGGTGTTGGATTTTTTCGAATGCTTTTTCTGTGTTTATTGATATGATAATGGGATTTTTGTCTTGCAGTTTGTTTATGTGTTGTATCACATTTATTGATTTGCGGATATTATACCAGCCTTGCATCCCTGGAATAAATCCCACTTGATGATGGTGTATGACCTTTTTAATATATTGATGTATGCAATCTGCTAATATTTTTTTTGAGGATTTTAGCATCTATGTTCATCACGTTTATTGGCCTGTCATTCTCTTTCTTTGTAGTGTCTTTATCTGGTTTTGGAATTAGGATAATGTCAACCTCATAAAAAGAGTTTGGAAGTGTTCCTTCCTCTTGGATTTTCTGAAATAGTTTGAGGAGTATAGGTGTTAGTTCTTCTTTGAATGTTTGGAAAAACTCCCCTGTAAAGCCGTCAGACCTGGGCTTTTGTTTGGGAGGAGTTTTTTGAATACTGCTTCTATTTCATCAGTTGTTATTGGCCTCTTCAGGTTTTTGATTCTTCCTGATTCAGTTTTGGGAGATTGCGTTTTTCTAGGTAGTTGTCTGTTTCACCCACATTGCCCAGCTTGTTGGCATATAGTTGTTCATAGTATTTTCTTACAATCCTTTGTATTTCTGTTGTGTCCATGGTTACTTCTCCATTTTCATTTCTGATTTTATTTATTTGGGTCCTCTCTCTTTGTTTCTTGATGAGTCTGGCTAATGGTTTATCATTTTTGTTTATCCTTTCAAAAAACCAGCTCTTGTTTTCATTGATATTTTGCATTTATTTTAAGTCTCTATGTTATTTATTTCTGCTCTAATCTTTATTATTTCCTTCTTCTTCTTACTCTGGGCTTTTCTTGTTGTTCTCTTTCTAGTTCTTTAAGTTCAGGGTTAAATAGTTTATTGCTGATTTTTCTTGTTTTTTTGAGGTATGCCTGTAGTGCTATGAACTTCCCTCTCAGGCCTGCATTTGTTGTGTCCCAGAGATTTTGGGATGTTGTGTGTTCATTTTCATTTGTTTCCAGGAATTATTTTATTTCTTTCTTGATCTTGTTGGTAACCCATTCATTGTTTAATAACATGCTATTTAGCCTCCATGTGTTTGAATGTTTTGGGGTGTTTTTACTGTAGTTGATTTCTAATTTTATTCCACTGTGATCTGAGAAGATGCTTGATATTATTTCAATCTTCTTGAACTTGTAGAGACTTGTTTTGTGTCCTAACATGTGGTCTATCTTTATGAATGATTTATGTGCACTTGAGAAGAATGTATATTCTGCTGCATTGGAGTGAAATGTTCTATAAATCTCTATTAAATCCATCTGATCCAATGTGTCCTTTAGAGTCACTGTTTCCTGGTTACGTTTTTGTCTGGAAGATTTGTCCAGTGAAGTCAGAGGGGTGTTAAAGTCCTCTACTATGACTGTATTGTTGTCAATCTCTTCATTAAAGTCCTCTAGAAGTTTTTTTAAAAAATATATATTTAGGTGCACTTATATTCGGTGCATATATGTTTACCAGGGTTTTATCCTCTTGTTGGATTTATCCCTTTAGTATTATATGGTAACCTTTGTTGTCTCTTGTGATGGCCTTCATTTTAAAGTATATTTTGTCAGATATGAGTATTACTACTCCAGCTTTTTTTTCTTTTCTATTTGTATGGAAAATTTTTTTCCATCCCTCCACTCTCATCCTGTATATGTCTTTTGTTTTGAGGTGGGTCTCTTATAGACAGCATATAGTTGGGTCATGTTTTTGTATCCATTCAGCTACCCTACACCTTTTGATTAGAGCATTTAATCCATTTACATTTAGGGCTGTTATTGAGAGGTACTTATTTATAGACATTTTAATTCTGTATGGCTAGGTTTCTTTTTCTGTTTCTTCTTTTCAGCAATCCCTTACAGCAGTCCCTTTAGCATTTCTTGTAATGCCGGCTTGGGGGTAATGAACTCTTTTAGCCTTTTTTTTTTTGTCTGGGAAGCTCTTTATTTGACTGTCTATTTTTAATGATAGCCTTGCTGGATATAGTAATCTTGGTCTCAGATCCTTGCTTCCCATTACCTTGAGTACTTCATACCACTCCCTTCTGGCCTATAGAGTTTCTGATGAGAAATCAGATGTCAGACTTATGGGAACTCCTTTGTAGGTAACAGTTTTATTTTTATCTTGCTGCCTTTAAGATTTTCTCTTTGTCTTTAATTTTTGACTTTAATTATGATGTGTCTAGGCGTGGGTCTGTTTGGGGTTCTCTGTGCTTTCTGAACTTGTGTGACTTTTTTCTTTACCAGGTTTGGAAAGTTTTTGCCATTATTTCTTCAAACACCTTCTCTATTCCTTTCTCCATTTCTGCCTTTTCTGGCATACCTGCTATTCTAATAGTGTTATGTTTCACGTTGTCCCACAGCTCCCTTAAGCTGCCCTCCTGTTTTTTAATTGTTTTTTCTTTTTGGTTCTCTGATTGAGTGATATTTTCAACTCTGTCTTATAATTCACTGATTTGATCCTCAGCTTCCCCTAATCTGCTGTGTATTCCTTCCAATGTGTTCTTTATTTGTGTTATGTCATTCTTTATCTCAGACTGTTCTTTTTTTATAGTTACTATATCTTTTTTCATACTGTTCAGCATTTTTACCATCATTACTCTGAACTCTGTTTCAGATAAATTTCTTATTTCTTCTTCATTTATCTCTTCTGGAGAATTCTCTAGTTCTTTCATTTGGGTTTTTTTTCTTTGTCTCCTCATTTTGGTTGTCTCTTTAGGTTTGTGACTGTGTTTTAGGTAGATCCTCTACACCTCTCAATCTCTAGTGCAGGGCAGTGTTAAAGGCTGATTCTGACAAATTGGATCAGGCAAAGACTCAAAGCCTCTAGAGACCGCCTCTGTCTCTAGAGACTAATAGGATTCTGACTTGAATTGCCCCCAGGCATTCATCCTCAGAGTTTTTTTCAACAGGGTGGGGCAGTTGTTTCTGCCTGGAGGCTAATTGTTACTTTTAATCACTTAAGTGTCCTCAGGGAAAGGTGTTTTCTAATAGGACATATCAACTGTCTTCCCCCCAGGTGAGGCAAATGTCTATGTGGGAAAGATGTCCTCCTCTGCATGAGGGAATGACTCAGCCCAGGAAACTTGGGATGTCTGCCTTCTGAGTTTTATCCCCCCGAGTCCCCAGACCTGGGTTCTCTCACAGCTCCAGTCTACTTCATCCTCCCTCTGACAGAGCACAAGGTGAGTGGCTCCACAGGGAATTTTTGTGCATTAGCCCTTCAAGAGGGTGCCTGAACTTTCAGCTGCCACTCCCCTGATGCTTTTCACAGCTAGATGTTATGTGGTTACCTTCCTCAGATTTGGTGCTCTCTGCTAGGGAGCCCAGCTTGGGGATTAGATCCCAGAGTTTTCAGTGTCACCCCTTCCCCCCCACAGCTGAGATATCTTTCTGGGACTTCAGTTGCTGTCTGTGGCTGCCCAGCCAGCCTTTTCATGACTCCGCCTCTCCTACCAGTCTCTATACCATCTCCATCTTCGGTCCTCCAGTATCAGGGTTCTCTCCTATGAGTTTTCCATTGATTATTCAGAAAGCCTTTCCATATTTCAGTTGTAATTCCTATTTGTTCCTGGGAGAATGCCCGTGCCCATATTATGTTTTATGGGGATAAATGCTAGGGGGAAAATCCATATTTCCTGTGCATTTTATTTATTTTTGTTGTTGTTAATCCTCACCAGAGGATATTTTTCCACTGACTCTTTTTTTTTAGAGAGGGTGGAAGGGAGGGGGAGAGACACAGAACATTGGCATTGACATGTGAATGACACATCCATTGGTTGCCTTCTGCATGCACCCCGACCAGGACTGAGGGTTGAGCCTGCAATTGAGGTATTTGCCCTTGACTGGGATCTTACTTGGGACCTTTCAGTCCCCGGGCTGATACTCTATACACTGGAGAAAATGGCTAGGGCTTTTTCTTCTTCTTAAAGAAAGCTCTTTAGCCTGGCCAGTTTGGCTCAGTGGTTGAGCATCGACATATGAACCAGGAGATCATGGTTCAATTCGCAGTCAGAGTGCATGCCAGGATTGTGGACTTGATCTCCAGTGGGGTCATGCAGGAAGCAGCAAATCAATGATGCTTCTTTCTCTTTCTCCCTCTCCCTTCCTCTCTGAAATCAATAAAAATATATTTTAAAAAATTAAGAAAACCCTTTAACATTTCTTATAATACTGGTTTGGTGGTGATGAACTCCTTTAGTTTTTTCTTGTGTGGGAAGCTCTTATCTGCCCTTTGATTCTAAATGATAGTCTTGCTGGGTAGAGTAATCTTGATTGTAGGTCCTTGCATTTCATCACTTTGTGATCATGGTATCTCCCCTGCCAGGTAAGTATTGCATTTCATCACTTTGAATACATATTTTTTGCCAATCCCTCTGGGCTGAAAAGTTTCTGTTGAGAAATCAGCTGCCAGTCTTATAGGAACTCCATTGTAGGTAACCGACTGCTTTTCTTTTGCTGCTTATAAGATTCTTTGTCTTTAATATTTGGCATTTTAATTACAATATGTCTTGGTGTGGGCCTCTTTGGATTCATCTTTTTTGGTACTCTCTGTGCTTCTTGAACTTACATGTCTTTTTCCTTCACTAGGTTAGGAAAGCTTTCAGTCATTTGTTTAAATAGGTTTTGAATCCCTTGCTCTCTCTCTCTTCTCCTTTTGGTACCCATATAATGTGGATGTTGTTACAGTTGATGTCCTAGAGGTCCGTCAAACTATCCTCATTTTTAAAAATTTGTTTTCCCTTTTTGCTACTCTGATTGGCTTCTAGCTTGTCATCCATATCACCAATTCTATCCTCTGCTTCATCTAATCTGATGTTGATTCTTTCTAGTGTATCTTTCATTTATGACTGTTTTTTTTTATGGTTTCTATATCATTTTATATCCTGTTAAAATTCTTACTAGGTTCCTAGAGCATATTTATAACCATTGTTTTGAAATTAGTATCTGGTAATTTGCTTGTGTTCATTTCATTTAGTTCTTTTTTTCTGGAGATTTCTCCTACTCTTTCATTTGGGGCATGTTTCCTCTCTCCATTTTGGCTGCCTATCTGAGTTTCTTTCTATATATTAGGTAGATCTGCTATGTCTCCTGGTCTTGGTAGAGTGGCCTTATGTATTAGGTGTTCTATAGGGCCCAGTGGTGCAGCCTCACTGGTCACCTGAGCCAGGTAGGCTGTGTGCATCTTCATATTGTAGTTGAGCTTTGATTGCTGTTGGCAAGTCAATGGGAGTGAGCAATCCCCAGACTGATGAACAACAAGGACTGGTGCCGGTGTCCAACCCCAGCAGGTCCAGGGGTCCCCAAAGGTGTGGACGGAGTCGGCGAAGAAGGAATGACACGGAGACAGCGTTCAGTTGATCAGCAGCCTAGCCAGGATCTCTAGCCAGTATACCCAGCCAAGTTCTGTTCAGGATCTCCAGCAAAGTTCTGGTTAGGATCTCCAGCCAGGTTCGGTCACCAGATTCTGTAGCCAGGTTCTTCAGCCAGGTTCTGGCTAGGTTCTCCAGACAGGTTCAGTCACCAGGTTCTAGTCAGGTTCTCTTGCCAATTTCTGTAGTCAGGTTCAGTCCAGGATCTTTTGCCATGTTCTCTCCAGCGAAGTTCTTCTGTCTGTAGGTTCTGTGTAGGTTCTGTCTTCTAAGTTCTGTGTTCTAAGTTCTGTATTCTAAGTTCTGTGTCTTGCTGTCTTGTTACATCTGTATTTATACCAGTTGATTCAATCCTATCAATCTTTATTACAAAGGTTAGGGCATTTCTTATCTCCATTCCAGGGAGTAAAGATTATGTAGCTTAAGCATGATTGTTCTAGTTAAAGTGATTAATTACCCACCTGGCACTTAGTTGAAGGGTTTTATTCCCTCCCTAACTTCAGGGGAAAATCCCTACCTGGGGAAACAACCTTTCTCAGAGAGGAGACCTTGGTTAAAACACATAGTGCCAAGAAGGTGAGCAAACATATTAAGAACAGTATGCCATATATGCCAGGTCCTTTGAAACAGCAAGGATGGACCGGCTCCCGCAAACTGGCTGTCACTATAGCAAAGGAGCTGCTGTGCAGGGGCTGACCCCACAGAGCAGGACTCCCTTCAGCAGGGCTCTGGTTCCCCCTGTATCTTCCCCTTGAGTGTGGCACTCATGAAGGTTATTAGGTGCTACTCCAGGCATGATCTGAAGCTGGCTAAAGGGTGGGCTGACTTTGGGGCCTTCCAGGAGGTCAGTGGCCACCTATGACCTCCTCAGGGCCACAAAGCATGGGCTACGAAGTTATCTGCGGATGGCTGTTACTTGTGCTGTGCTTGGAAGTGCCATGGTGAGGCCACACTGCAAACAGAGTCTGGATGCCATTTTGAAAGAAGTATGGGGCATGCTGAGGCCAGATGCTGCTTGTTTGTAGTTTGAGAACCTTTGAGAGAATTTAGGAAAGTTCACAGCATGGGCCAAGATAGGGATTTATTTGGAAAAGTTACTGGAAGGGACATGGCCCAAATGTTGAATGGGGGCCGGGGGTCTCAGGGAAACAGGAAGGCAGGTTGATGGAAACTCAGATATAGTGCCTGCCTGCTCACTCTGTGGGAGGAGGGCTCAGCATAGGAACAATGGCTTTTGCCAGCACAGTTGTCTGGAGACCAAAGCTTCCCCTTCAGCTCTCACCCCAAAGCCAGACAATTTGGTTCTTCTCCATATGTCCATGGTGCCATTTGAGCTGGTGCCCCAGCACTGGAGCTCACAGTGAGTCAGTCCACCAGTGATTAAGTCTGTGCTTGGGCCCTTTAAGGGAACACCTGGGACTCCAGAAGCCCTTCATCTCACTCAGCCACAATCCCTGCTGGTTTTCACAGCTAGATGTTATGGGGACTTCTCTTCCTGGCACTGGAACCCTGGTCTGGCAGGGGGTGGTGGCTGGGGTGGTGGCTCGTGTGTGGCTGGGACTCTTTGCTCTTCAGTGGGTATCTCTGCAGGGAAGATTACCCTCCTGATTTTTAACCACCAGATGTGAGTGTGAGACCAGCCTGTTCTGCTACTCTTACCAGTCTCAAAGTGGCTTTGTGTATCTATAGTTATAGGACTTCTGCTCAGCTAGATTTCAGGCAGTTCTCAATGATGGTTGTTCTGTAGTTTGATTGTAAATTTAATGTGGTTGTGGGAGGATGCCAGCACTGCATTTACTTACTCTGTTGCCGGGGTCCTGCCCCAGCAGGTCCAGGGGTTCCCAAAGGTGTAGACGGAGTCGGCGAAGAAGGAAGGACATGGAGACAGTGTTCAGTTGATCAGCAGCCTATCCAGGATCTCTAGCCAGGATCTTCAGCCAAGTTCTGGTCTGGATCTCCAGCGAAGTTCTGGTTTGGATCTCCAGCCAGGTTCTGTGTCCATGTTGTCTTGCTAGGTTCTCCAGCCAGGTTCTGTAGCCAAGTTCCCTCGCTAGGTTCTCCAGCCAGGTTCTGTCCAGGTTCTCCAGCCAGGTTCAGTTACCAGGTTCTAGTCAGGTTCTCTTGCCAATTTCTGTAGTCAGGTTCAGTCCAGGATCTTTTGCCATGTTCTCTCGCTAGGTTCTGTCTCTAGGTTCTGTTGCCAGTTTCTGTCCAGGATCTTTTGCCATGTTCTCTCCAGCGAAGTTCTTCTGTCTCTAGAGAACTTTCTGTGTAGATTCTGTGCCTAGGTTCTGTCTCTCGCTGTCTTGTTACATCTGTATTTATACCAGTTGATTCAATCCTATCAATCTCTATTACAAAGGTTAGGGCGTTTCTTATCTCCATTCCAGGGAGTAAAGATTATGTAGCTTAAGCATGATTGTTCGTAGTTAAAGTGATTAATTACCCGCCTGGCACTTAGTTGAGGGGTTTTATTCCCTCCCTAACTTCAGGGGAAAATCCCTACCTGGGGAAACAACCTTTCTCAGAGAGGAGACCTTGGTTAAAACACATAGTGCCAAGAAGGTGAGCAAACATATTAAGAACAGTATGCCATATATGCCAGGTCCTTTGAAACAGCAAGGATGGACCGCTTCCCGGCACTCTGTCATCTTGACCATAACTCTAATTTTATGTGCATTTTAGCTCATATCACAGGAGTTAAGAGCATGGATCTCTGAACCAGACTGCTGGAGCTTAGATCCCAGTTCTGCAACTTATTAGTTACTTAGAGGCCTGGTGCATGAAATTCGTGCACTCGAGGAGGGGGGGGCTCCCTCAGCCTAGCCTGTGCCCTCTTGCAGTCCAGGAGCCCTCAGGGAGCGGGCCTTAGCACTGCTGTGGAGGCGGGAGAGGCTCCCGCCACTGCCACTGCTCTCGCCAGCCATGAGCCCAGCTTCTGGCTGAGCGGGGCTCCCCATGTGGGAGTGCACTGACCATCAGGGGGCAGCTCCTGCATTGAGCATCTTTCCCCTGGTGGTCAGTGTGCATCCCAGTAACTGGTCATTCTGCTGTTCAGTCAATTTTCATATTAGCCTTTTATTATATAGGATGTGATTTCTGGCAGGTTACTTAGCCTCTCTGAACCTCAGTTTCCTTATCTGTAAAACACAGAAAATAATGGTTCCTTCAGCAAAAGTTATCAGGATTAAATGAGTTAATACAGGTAAAGAAGTTAGGACTTGAGGCCTGGTGGGGGAAGTCACGGGCTTCAGAGTTCCTACTGGAGCTTTGGGACTAAGCTTAGGTTAGTGAGTAATTCATTCATTACGTTTTGGGAACAAATGGAACATCCATGTCAAATTGAGGGGTGGTTTCTCGGAGGGAAGCTACATAGGCTGGTGTAAATAGGAGTCACACTTGAATAGCACAGGCCTGGATAGTAAATGAAGATCTACCTCTTATGTAATTGGGCAAGTTACTTAATCCTCTGAGACTTACTTTTTTCTCATGAAAATTTCGGGTAATGATACCTATCTTGTACAGAGCTTATAAAATTATATATAACATATCAAGAGGCTGACAGTGTCTGGTATGTAGATAGATGCTCATTGAATCACCTTTTCACTGGGTAAGTCAGCAGGTCATCTCTATACATAGAATGTTTACCAGTCTACTCATGCAGTGTGTAAAAGTGAGCATTTCCTCTGTACTCACAATAATGAAATAATATCAGAATCCATTACCCATTGAATGAGAAAATGAGACATCCATTCCCTCTCAATAGGACATTCACTTTGAGTGGTGTTTTCCTGAAGGACCTTGGGAGGCCTGGGCTTTCACCGATTCTGCTATAGAAAAATTTCTGGCCAGCTACTGCCACACCTCAAGGATACTGCTGTATCTTGCTGTGACCTTTTCTAAAACTTTGGCAGAAAAATGTAGAGTACAGCATTCTAACCCAGCAAAGCAAGTCCGGGGTAATGAATGAGCTCATAGAAATCTTTTGTGTATGTTTCTGGCATGGTGGATTGAGCCAACACAGAAAATACAAATATAGAAATACAAGGTAAAATATTCTAAGGAAAAAAGCTTAAACACATAGTTGAGCTTGGCTGGAAGAAAGGCTGGCTGTGGGGGTGAACTTAGAAAAGGATTCTCCAATCTTGAAATGCCTCCAGGCTTGCCAATACCTTGACTTGTAGTCTTGTGAGAGATCCTGAGCCAGAGTTACAGGGCACTCAAATTTCTGACCCACAGGAACTGTGAGAAAATAAGGGGTTTTGTTTTGTTTTGTGTTAAGCTGCTAAGTATGGGGTAATCTGTTACCCAACAATAGATAATCAAAGGACAGTGATTACTCTAAATCACTATATAAAGCTTCTGAAATATCTTTGAGAGCTGTGACCAGGAAAAAGCTAACCATCTCCAAGAATGGTTTATTTCTTCTTAGAGACAGTGAAAAATAACATACATATGTTTTCCTTTTAGTTTTGGCCACCAGGACCAACCCCATGGCCTATTTATGTGTGTTCTTACTCCTGGTCTTTTCTTTTATTCTGACTTGCTTGGTTCTTCATCCCAATTTGTTTTATTATTATTTTTAATCCTGTGTTTTGTTTTTAGTTCATTTTTATATTTTTCTATATTATATGAATTATGTTAAGCCATCTCAAATTCAGTTTACAGAGACACAAGGCATTCAGAAATACTTTTTAAAAAATAGTTTAAGTTCACACCTGTTGAACAGGTGGTGTCTGGAGGCGGTGGTGGGGAAGATCAGGTAATGCAAGCGTGGCTCAAGAACGGGCATTTGGCCAGGGTTAATTTGGATTGGGTCAGAAAATAGCAAGTGATTATGAAAAAAAAAAAAAAAAAAAAAAGGATGGCAATTGATCACCACTCCCAGGGGGAGGGGCCAAGGGTTTACCAAGTCACACAGGGTAATATCTTTGAAATTTATTCATTGCCCCGAGTCCCCAAGGCCCGCCCACGACACCCCGCCCCCGTCCCCTCCCGGGGCCCCGCCCCCTTCCTCTGGCCCCTCCTCCGCCCTCGCCCTCTCGCTGCGCGCGCGCGCGCGCCGCGCCTTCTATCTCCGCCGGGCGGCCAGGCCTCCGGGACGGTTGCGCGCTCCGCTCCTCCCTCCGAACGCGCGCGCCTTACCGCTTCGCTAGGCTCCCTCCTTTCGGGGCGGTTGGGCCGCGCGCCCGTGGGGGCGGGGCCTGGAGGAGGCGGTGGAGCCAATGGGGCGCGGCGGCGGTGGCGGCGGTGGCGGCGGCCGCGGAGGCGGTGGCGGTAGTGGCGGTGGCTGGGTCGGGCCCCGACGGGCGGCGGCTGCTGAGGTGGAGGCGGAGGGAGGCGGCGGCGGCGGCGAAGGAGGCGGCGGCGGCGGCGGAGGGGGGAAGATGGCGGCGCCCGTCCTGCTGAGAGTGTCTGTGCCGCGGTGGGAGCGGGCGGCCCGGTATGCAGTGTGTGCCGCCGGGATCCTGCTTTCCATCTACGCCTACCACGTGGAGCGGGAGAAGGAGCGGGACCCCGAGCACCGGGCCCTCTGCGACCTAGGGCCCTGGGTGAAGTGCTCCGCCGCCCTTGCCTCTAGGTAGCCTGGCTGAGGGGAGCGAGCCGGGAACGGCCGAGTGGGGTGAGGGCGGGGGCCGGGGGTGGGGAGCGCGTGGCGGGAGCTCGGGCCTGGGGGTTGGTGGGGACCGGGCCGCGAAGGGAACCCTCGGCGGGCCGGTGTGGGTAGGGGGCGGCGGCCTGGGGCTCGGGTCCTGGGGCGGCCCACGAGCAGGCCGCCGGGGCGGAGGTGGCGCGGCCGCGAGACCGGCGAGGAGGGATGAGGTGGCAGAGTGCAGCTGGGAGGCCGGCGCGGACCGGGAGCTGTTGGGCCGGCGGGGGTCGGGTGGGAAGGAGCGAGAGGGGTTCGCGGAGAGGGGGCCGGCGGGCTTGACAGATCTCCTCGTAGCCGCCGGGAGGCGGGTCGGGGTGTCGGACCTGCCGCGGAGCCGTGAGGTCGGAGCCCACCGTGGTCTGGGGTCGCCGCAGCCGGGGCTGTGCCGTAGGCAGGCTCGGGGGCTGCATTGCCCACTGTGGTCCCGGGGCCAGGACAGGTGTTTCCGCGGTCAGGCCTCTTTGTACTCGGTAGCGCTCATGAGAATTGGCGCTTACTGAGCCGGTGACATTTGCGGGCAAACACGAATTTGACCCTACTCTGGAAGAAGACACCAGCACTTAACCTACCTGATTTTTTGGATTCCCCCTCGTATAGTTCAGTGTTCTAGGCATGGGGAAATGGTCCGAGTTTGGGTCTAGCTAGCTTAAGCTTATCATGAGTATGTCATGTGTAGTGCTGCTTTGGGCATTGGGGTGACTTTTAAACGTTGTTGGTTAGTATAATGGGATCGCCACAGAAGATTAAAAGTACATGCATTGCTAAACTGGAGGTATTGGCCAGCTTATTGGTTTGTTTTAAAAAATGATGTGGTTGATTTACCTATTACATTTTATTTTCTGCATTAGATTTACCTAACAGATTACTTAATAAAAGAGGAATTTATATCTTAAAAGTGGTTGGTTGCTTTTTTTTTTTTTAATTTAGGAAGATTCGTTTTAAAAAGTAGCCGAAGTGAAAGAAATGGTTTCAAAGTTGATAGGTTATAATTTTAATAGAGACATACTATGCCTAATGTTAACTGTAGTTACCTTTGAACAGTTTCTTCCCCTCCTGTAAATTGCTAGGTAAACAATTGTATAAGCTTACCTGTTTTATTTTGACATACATATTAGTGATTACAGGAACAAGCTAGCATTGGAGTTAGTCTTGTAACTATTTACAAACTTCATCTATTTAATGGAGATACAGAAATTTATAAATTAAAGTGACGAGTCTGATTTATAGGCCAGTTTTCTTTTGGAATTGGGTAGAATAAACATCATTAAAAGTTTTTATTTTGCTAAAGCGAAAAAGGCTTTAAGTAAAAGCAGGTTATTGGAGACTGCAAGTAGTTTTAAAAATTCTACTTAAGTATTGATTGCCATTTAGCAGTAGTAGTTAAAAACATGACTATTTTAGGAAAAGTAAGTTTGAGCTGAGGTTTGAGTAGAATTGAAGATAAAGGATGAGAAAAATTAACTGATGAAAGGAATCCTGAGGAAAGTCTTCTACTAGAATCCAGCGTTAATTCATGTGACTTGTTGAAACTCATGTTATTTTCATCAGTTCTTAAATGTCCTAATTTAAATAGAATGAAGTAGAGATTGATGAGAATCATGAGTGTCTTGTGTGTGAGTGTATATGTGTGTAAAGTCTTGTAGTGTTTTGGAAAGCAACACTAAGAGGATAGTTCCCAGACTTTTGGATTTCAAAAGAAATATTTCCCCCCAAAATTGGGACACTGTAATAGAGTTGACAGTTTTTTGTCCTGCCAGGTATAGCCAATAAAAACAGCAATAATAACCCACCAGTATTTACTGCCACCAGAATTTCATTTTAAAAAAAGGGGTATTTTGCCTGGACAGCGTGACTTAGTGGTTGAGCACCGACCTAGGTCACGAATTCCGGTCAGAGCACATGCCTAGGGTGTGGGCTGGATCCCCAGTGTGGGGCATACAGGAGGCAGCCGATCAGTGATTCTCTCTTCATCTTTGATGTTTCTATCTCTCCCTCTCCTTTCCTCTCTGAAATCAATAAAAATACATATTTTTAAAAAATAAAAATAAAGGATATTTTAACTGAATTTGAAAGAACAGTATCTCAGAATAAAAGCCCTTTAAATAGAATCATTTAATTTTATTAAAAATTTTGCTTTCTTTTCTTTATTTGTCCTCATTTTAGTGTAAATTAGTGAAAACTGGCAAACCTGCACCAGCCTGCCAGCTGAAATTAAGTATCTCCTGATGTGGTCTCAAGCTAGTTATCTTCCTACAGCCTCCTTAGTTCATGTGTTAAATGGGAGTATTAAAACTTGCTTTACCAGATGAATGGTAGGGTTAAAGATGATACATGGTATCAAAACCTGGAATAAAGTATGTACTCAGGTATAGCTGAGTTATAGCTGCTAACTAGATTGGAGGTGTTTTTTTAGTGTCTGATAAACACCTTTAAGTAGTGTAAGTTCTTGTTTAAGGTCTAGTCATTTATGTATTTTAAATGTCAGTTGTCTTTGTGTTTATTGCTCACTCCATGACAGACTATAAAGACTTAAAATCTATTTAAAACTATTTTAAAAGTGTGGCAAGAGAAAATAATGTGCAGACTATTCCTTATAGGTATTTCCTTTAAATTACATTAGACCCCTTCTAAGAAAGGTTTCTATGTAAAAATAGTACAAATGACCTCAAAAGATTAATAGACTTGACCATTCTACAGTTTAAAAATATATATATCTATATCTATATATATCTATATCTATATCTATATATCTATATATTGATTTCAGAGAAGAAAGGACAGGGAGAGATAGAAACATCAATAATGAGAGAGAATCATGGATTGGCTGCCTCCTGCACCCCCTCTACTGGGGGGGAGTCCTCAACCGGGCATGTGTCCTGACTGGGAATTGAACCATGACCTCCTGGTTCATAGGTCAGTGTTCAACCACTGAGCTACACTTGCTGGGCCATACTACAGTTGTACCATACTACATACTAAGTGGTAATAATAGTATTTGTCCTGCCTGGTTTGATTCAATGGCTAGAGCGTTGTCCTGTTGTCTGAAGGGTCGAGGGTTCTATTCCCAGTCAAGGGCACCTATGTACCCTGGTTGCAGGTTCCTTGGATCCCTGGTCCTTTTGTGGGAGGCTACCAGTCTCTCTCACGTTGCTGTTTTTTTTTTCTTCTCTCTCTCTCTCTTTCCCTCCTCCCTCCCTTTTACTTGCTCTAAAAGTCAATGGGAAAAATATCCTTGGGTGAGGGTTAAAAAACACACAAACTCCCAACATTTAAATGGTAATAATAGTATTTGAAAACCATCAAGTCCTCAAAAAGCTGCCTTATTTTGCAAAATGTTGGACTAGTACCTCTCATCTGTCTTTAAAAAAAATTAATACCATATATTTACTATCTCCCCTTCCCATTGAGATCATACATTTTTAGAATTTGTCCAGTTGCCCAAGGTAACACAGTTAGTGCCAGATTGGGGCTAAAAGTCTGGCTTCCAGAGTCTTGTTTAGAGTCTCCCTCTGCCTGCATTTTTTCAGTTAAATTTTTTTTTTTAATATATTTTTATTGATTTCAGAGAGGAAGGGAGACGGAGATAGAAACATCAATGATAAGAAAGAATCGATTGGCTGCCTCCTGCACACCTCCTACTGGGGTTGGAGCCTGCTCAGTTAAATTCTTGTATAAGTAATACATTCATTGCTCCCAATTAAAAAAGATACTAAAGTATATATAGGGAACAGACTCCTTCATACCCATTCCAAAAAAATGTAGTTCTCCCTCTTCATAAGCAGCCATGAAACTTTCCAGAGCTGTTTTATGCCTATACACGTGTAAATATGGTCATATTCTCCCCATTTTATAAACATGAAATTACATATTCTGATCTGTACTTTATTTTTGCTAGCATTTCCATCACCACCATATTATTATTATTTTTACTATATTTTTATTGATTTTATTTATTGATTTTTTTTCCAGAGAGGAAGGGAGAGGGAGAGAGAGATAGAAACATCAGTGATGAGAGAAACATTGATTAGCTGCCTCCTGCACACCCCTCACTGGTGATCGAGCCTGCAACCCCGGCATGTGCCCTTGACCACAATCGAACCCAGGACTGTTCAGTCCGCAGGCCAGTGCTCTATCCACTGAGCCAAACCGTACGGCACCACCATATTATTAAGTGCTTATTACCTACATATTTGGTGGAATGTTAATAACTGCTAGTATGTAAAAGAAAATTTGTTCTAGTAGGCTTTTTGTTGTTGTTAATCCTCACCTGAGGATGTTTTCGCATTGATTTTTAGAGTGGAAGAAAAGGGGAGAGACAGAGAGAAACATTGATGTGAGAGACACATTGATTGGTTGCCTCCCACGTGCGCCCCAACCAGGGCCGAGGATCCAGCCTGCAAATGAGGTACGTGCCCTTGACCAGGATTGAACCTGGAACCCTTTAGTCTGCAGGCTGATGCTCTATCCACTGAGCCAAACCATCTAGGGCTGTTCTAGTCGTTTTTTTAATAATTAAATTTTTAAAAAATTACAGTTGACCTGCAATATTATATTAGTTTCAGGTGTACACCATAGTTATTAGTCACTTACATAACTTATGACCTGGTCACCCTGATAAATCTAGTACTCATCTGACACCATACATAGCTATTATAATATTGTTGACTGACTATATTCCTATGCTGTATTTTACATCCCCATGTTTTGTTTTGTTTTTGTAACTGGAAATTTGTACTTAATCACTACCCTTTTTTCACTTAACCCTTCAATCCCCCTCCCTTCTGGCAACCATCAGCTTGTTTTCTGTATCTATGAGTCTGTTTCTGTTCTGCTTGTTCATTTCTTTTGTTTTTTTAGATTCTACATATAAGTGAAATCATATGGTATTTGTCCTTCTCTGACATTTCACTAAGCATAATTCCCTCTAG